CTAGAACAATCAACACATTGTATTAACACCTTCAGTGCTAGTTATGAAAATAAAATCATCGTAATATGTACTCAGGAAATTGTGCCTATAATTACTTTGTCTGTTGTATAAAGTAAACTAGATTTTTGAATGCTTGATATGAATTCTGCCTGGGATGTAACAGTGCCCATTGCTTTCAGGATAATCTTTCCATTCTCTGGCTCCAAAATAAAAACTTAATTCAACCCAGTTAGATGAATTTTAGTACACTAGCCAAAAAAATTGTATAAAAAAAATAGCTTCAGATTCAAAGTATTAATGGTTTTGATGCAATAGCTACTACTGATATTCAAAACTTTTTTTTTCCAGAATTTTTTTTTTTTTTTAATTCTGCTTTCTCAATTTGTTCATTGAAAAATCTCTATTTAACAAAAAGCCTTCTGCTTTTTGGTTGACTGTCTTTTAGCTGCTAAAAGTGCTGATTTCCATCTACAGCTGCTGGTGGAAACAAGTGACAAAAAAGAAGACTGAAACCAGTCTTCAAATAATTTTTTCAGATTTTTTTTTCCATTCATTGAAAGAAACAGAATCTTCATAGGAAGACTGAGATGGGAAATCCTTTTAAATTAATAGTCACAATACCAGTTTCACGACTCTTTTCAAGATAAGGCACAATACCAACGCTTTTTCCACCTCCTCAAACGTTCCCATAGAATTTGTAATGCAGTAAGTGAATGTAACACAGCTTTTCAATTAAGAGACTACTCACATCTTGTAGCAAACACTGCCAATACAGCACTACGCTTGCAGGCTGCGTGTTAGCTGCAGTCTGTGTTTGCTTCATGCTCTGAAGTGCTGGCACCTCAACTATGCAGATGTGGTAGTCTGGTAAAGTACACAGCCTCAAAACTCCTACCCCCAGAAACCAAAATACAAGAGGACCTCGAGGACAATACACCCTAGCCTCATCCTACCACAAGATGACTTGGGCTGGACAGTAATGGATGAATCTTACAGAGTCATTTACTGCTCTTTCAGTGTTTCTTCAAAGAAAAGTATTTTCATACCCATGTGCACTCACCCTGAGTTTGGCCAGCTAAAATTTCTTCATTTACAAGACTGAAAGGGAAGGGAGGACAACATTATGCCTAAAAATCTAAGTGCGCTCTAATAAGATCTTACAGGTTTGTGGGAACTCCTAGTATATTGTTTGCTTCCAGCTGGAAATGTACCAAAGTGAATCTTAAGCTACATTTTCCTTGCAAAATACTCTGGTCGCTGCCTAACAGAGGTTACTGATCTGTGGGGGTCTTTGGGCTGATCCAGTGGTCAGTTCTTATCAAGCTGCTGGACAGATAGACAAGGGAACCTAGTCTAGCAATGCTAGACTAACACTAACGTGTTCACTCCTCCCCCCTCCCCACCCCCACCAAAAATCAAAGCAGATGTTTATTTATAAATATTTATCTTCTAAGGTATCATGATGTTTATCTTTTAGGAGTGCAAAAGAGTACTACACTGCCTGTTGTTTTCCTCCTTATCATTTCTACATCTTGTTGAAAGTGCATGAACATATGCAGCATGCAAATTAGAGTTTGCAAATCAATAAATAATAGTATTTGCACTACTGCAAATTTTGCAGATGCAAAATTTGATGTCAAGTTATGACCATTTAAAATAGTTTTATCAGCATGTCTCTTTACCTTGAGAAAAATAACTAATTTCTGGAAGGAATAACTGTCAAGCAAGCCATTCAACTATTTTAAATAACATGCTTGCTTTTAATGTTTTAGGTGCCTTTTGATTCTTAGTGGCTTATTTGCTCTATGCAATGTGGCCAATTTGTGCAAATGCAACATGAAAACTACTTGCTTCCTGGTAACCCTATCATTCAAAACTGCTGGCCACTGCATGACATTTTTGTAACTGCTTGTACAACGTCTGGATTAAACATTGATTTCCAAGTAGAAGCAAACATGAAGCATATGTTACATGGGAAATGAATTCAGCTTACATGAGCTTCTTACTTCTTGGGCTGCAGCTGTGAAACACAGAAGAAAAATTGCATAAATAAAAATCTGGACATCAATTTCAGAATTAAGAAATAAAAATCTGCCAGAACATGTGGATAGAGAAGAATGAATTGGGTAATAATAGCTTGATATCAGTAATAGATACATATCCAAGCCTATGCCTTTACAATGACAAACGTCTGCAGTATATAGAAATATGTATGTCCTCATGCTGTAATGTAGGTGACCCTTTATAAAAACCAAAATCACCTGGATATATTAGGCAAAAGCTTGAAGCAATTCTCTTTAAATTAATATTAGGAGATCAATCCTGCAGAAATATTACAACAAGTGGCTTTGGAAGAAGAAACAAAACCAAGTTTATAGCTTGGGGGAAAGTGGAAGTCTTAAGAACAATCATCAAATGGAATCAACAACTCTTATAGAAACACAGGTAAATTCATAGCTATTGACTGACTGATTTTTAACTCCATATGAAATTATTCCTAACTGAAAATTGTTAACAAGCTAGCAATCATAAACATAAGGGATTCAGTGTTAGATGCTTCCATTTAGGATGCTTTCTATTAACAGTTTGCAAAGAAAAAAATTTTTTTAATCTTCTGGATGCCTTTCAGCTGATCCACCAAGCTATGAAGGACATTTGCATTTTTTCCTATTGCCATAGCAGTGCCAGTGACATTCGTTTAGCTCTATAAGGCCTCAAGGGTGTTAGATACAAACACAGACGACACTAGAATGTTTGGCTGAGGAAATTCTTGATTGTAACCTGATAGCATAATGAACAACAGAGCGCGTCAAGTGTTATTACAGTTAATGGGCCTCAGTTTTCTTGTCAGGAACTTGAATGTATCTAATCCTCTTTGCAGCAAGCACAGCTTCCACAATGACAAGGCAGAAAAAAAAAAATTGTCAGGACTGCCAAAACCCTGGGTTTTGGTGTTTGTTCTTTTTTTTTTTTCTTCTTCTTTTTTTTTTTTTTTCCCTCCAGATGGAGAGAGATAGGTAAGTGGGAGCATATCAGAATAACAAAGCCTGTAGAAAGAATCAGTACACTAGAGAAAAACACCACCAGAAGGCAAAGGCAGCATTCCAGTACAGCTCATGTCACAGCATACACAGACTATCTTGTTTACAGCAAATGAACTTTTGAAGCCAGCAATAGCTGAAAATGTGACTGTAAGCTCCAAGCCAGTGCTAGCAAATCAATTATTACTGCACAGAGATGGACAGTCTCCTGGAACTTCTGATATTCTGGCTGACCAAAAACGCAACAAGCATCTAAAAGCAGAGGTCAGACATGAAGGGCAAAAGAGAAAATATATGTAAGCCTGTGTTTTTCACAACAGAGAAGTGACAGATTCAGATCTACAGGTGACTAGTTCAGCAGCTACCTAACAATATGGGTGACTAAGGAAATGCGAGAAAAGCATTCCAGACAACTTGCCAAAAAAGAAAAAGGACTCCATAAGCAAATTAGTGCTCAATAAACAAATTGTAAATTTTTTGTTTATAACTGAAGAAAATTTATTGTAGAAGCATTGTGAAGGATAATATGTCATTTATTAAAACAATTATATAAACAATAAATACAAATGACAGTGGTCTTCCAGCACAAAATAATGCTTTTCTGTTCATCAGCCTGAATGTGTTATGCAACTTATTAATAGAATTGTTATACCTAAATATGAATAAAAAGGGAATTAATAGTGATTAGCAATAGAAGAGGTAAAGAGTACACATCATCATTTAGTTTTATAAACTTTAATCAGCTACTTTAGTTGAACAGAATTCCTCTAAAAATGTTACTTTCAGCGTATTGCCAGTAGTAAGTCAGATTTTACTATTGTAATTCCTTGTTGTGGGTAGCTAGAGGCACTGGCCAGTACTTAATGACAGAGACAAGAGATTTATAGTGGAGACATAAATACTCTGAGTAGCAGCAAGATTATATATGCTGGAAGTGCAAGTCATGTACCTCTACAACCATAATTCTGAAAGAATAAATAAGCTGTGGTCCTTAGGGTGCAGTTTGAATTATTCCTACAGCTTGGTTATGAGGAAAGCTTACATACTGGAAGACTTGAGCTTTGGTAAAAGTGAGGCCAGAAAAATCAAAGCATGAGAAAGCATCTTGAAGGCAAACGTGAAAAGAAGAACATCACCTAGAATAAGATAATGGGTGAATTGTAAAGTGGTCTAAAACCTCCGAATACTTTAAACCCATCGAATATCCCATTTTTCTCCTTGTAGGGAGAGAATCAGTACAGGACTTTCCCTTGTGAAGAGCTAAGCGGGAATGACTAGCTTGTTACTGTTACATCTTGAACACAAGCTCTTGTGGCTCTTGCGTTCTTAAAGATCACAACTTTAAGGCTGTCTAGGAGTAATTTTTGAACTGAAGCAAAGTCACTTTCCTGTGAGCTAGTACAGCCCCTGCTTGATGTGGTGGATCCTAGCTGCTGTAGGCAAGGAGCCATCAGGGCTCTACAGACTCCTGCTAACCCAGGCCTGCTCCAGCTCAGGCCTGTACTGCTCTGTAGTGAGATGGGAAGTTGCTCACATGTGGGAAATACAGTTTACTTCCATGGTCTGAGTGAACTCTTTGTACCCTACTTTTTCCTTCTCACAGAGAACCAGCCAAAGTCCCTGGAGCATTCACAGCCACACAGCAGTGGCAGGGCTGGCTGCTCCAGGCACTTCTCCACAGCCAGGGCTGCTTCAGAGGAAAACCTTCAGAGGAAAGCCTTCCCACTCACCAAGCTCTATGTTAACTGAATTCAACCTGAGCTTCTAAATAGTTTACAATTTTCCTTAAAAAATAAAATATATTCCACAAAACAAATGGCTATTTTGCCTAGCCTTAGTCACAGCTAAGCAGCTGTGAAAAATCATTTCTGCTAATACAGCACCAGTCGCAGCAGAGAAATACAGCTTTTCACAGGTGGCTCTCATTTTCTGGGTTGATGACTTGAGACCTAAGTGTTTGATTTTTCAGAAGCACTGAGTACTTACAGCTGCAGCTGAAGTTAATAGTAGCTGGGCTTTGAGGATGGGAGGAGCACCATGTAGCAAGTATCCTGAAAAAGCACTTTTCAGCATTTTCAGGATGAGTACCCAGCATTAATAGTAAGTTGTTTTGTTTTTTAAAACCTCAATTTTTTCAGGATGTGTTTTAATATTAAGTATTGTGCTATTTGTTATTATTACAGGTATGTTATGAAAATGATGTTTTAGAATGCCATAAAACATCCAGGTGCTGTAATAGCGAACTTAGAGAAATTGTGGAGGAAATCAATTGCTTTTAATATGAACTCACACTGAGCTCACAAAAAGAGAATTTGGGGCAGTAATATGCAGCAGAGCTGAATCCAGTAGGATAGATTTTAAAAAAAAATATAAAAATACTTCTGTTTTCAGTGTCCTCTGTCATGTTCTCATAACAGTGTGAAATAATTTAAGTGTATATATATACTGAAAAAGCAAGGTCAGGTATAGTCTCTTCATTCTGCGTAACTCCTTCCATGTGAATTAGTAAAACCTTATCTGATGTAAATGGAACCAAAAAGATCTTAGAGGAATGGAGTCCTTTCTCTCAGTGCAAGGAGAGATCCTATGTTCTTGTAGTCTCTAAATATACCGTTGTAAGCAGTTACCCTCTGGCAAGGGACCTGCTGTAGTGCCAGGTGGGTCCTGCAGTCAAAGCCTTAGTTTTGAATTTTGGTAGTATCTTATAAGTAAGAGTAAGCAAATAAAGTAGCTAAAATCCCTAGCTTTTGTGGTGACTGATGTTTTTGCTTTCCTAGCAGGAGGATGTAGGGACAGGAATGCATTAAAGGTTCAAAAATATTAATGTGGCAGTCTAATCAGCTCATCTCCTGAGACAGGAGAAACCAACTGTGTGCTGAAGTGCTGGGTTTCTCTTATTTGCTAAAATGTTAGAGGGAAAAGGTGACCTGGCAAAGCATAAGGAATCCTTTAAGTTCTGTACTTTCTTCTGCATGGCTGTGACTGATGTAAGAAGTACTGTAGCTAAGTCTGGCTTGTATCTACATATCTAGTTGCAGTTGGCCTGTTTCTGATTATGCTCAGGATTTTATTGCGGTTTTGTATTAGAATTAGTTTATGACTTGAAAGGTGAATTTTGATGGATCTGCTTGTGCTCATTTAAGATTTCCCTTGGCTGTTAGAAATTACCATCTTCATTACAGTCAGAAGAATGAGGCAAGTGTGGTTCATCCCCTCCACTTTTTTAACCCACATTAAGCATCAAATCTTGTTCTCAGCTCTTTACTAAGGTTCAGCTAGGGCAGAGCAAGTATGGTGCTCACCCAAGCATCAGGCTCAAATGACTTCTAAAGCTCTTTTCCACCTTCTTGCGTATTTCTGCTGGCAGTTCCTGGTCAGCAGGAAGTTGTATTCTCCAGCGGATTTCTGCAGAGGCCACTGTAAGCCCTGGATAACTGTTCTGAGTGTTCCTTCCATGAAGTTTTTCAAAGACAGGGATTTTGTTTCTCTGAATTTTAGCTTTGAAATGATTCCAAGCATTGCCCTATGCAGCAGGATAACAATACCTGAAAACTGGGACAGCATGGTCACAAGATTGCATGCTTTCAGCGAGGCACAAGTGTAGGAAACTTTCCAACTCCTAGTAATAATACTACCTCAGATGGGAGAACAAAATTTTGTTAAGTTTTGTTATTATTTTGTTAAGCTATGGTTTCTGAAGTGAGTCACTATCAATTCATCTGGTATAACCCAGTTCAAATTAACACTGAGGTTTATCTACCCTGATTCTGATCAGAAGTTACATAGCTGCTTGGTAGCCATAATGGATGTGGTTATGAAGCTATGGACAATGATTAACAAAAATATTGTCATGTACTGCATTGCTCAGAAGTGTGCGTAATGTTATGTCAGCATGTGGTGTTCTTCCGTGCTAGGTTTTTTAACATAGAGTCCTCATTGCACCTCTTGCTTTTGAATGTTTTTATTTCTGCCTGCTCTTATTTCTGCTGCTTCTGCTTTCTGTTGATGTGCCTCCCTGAGGGGCTCTCACACTGGCCAAATTTGTCAAGTTTTGCAGGTCAGTAACTGGTAAATTGAGACGTGAAGTTCTTGCTGGTTTCCACTCCTGGCCCATGCTGAAAGCACTTTCTGGGGGTCCTACAGTGTTCTATCAGTGTTTCTATACTTCTGCCTCTCAGTGCTGTTGGCAGGCAGCTGGGATTCAGTGAAAAAGGAAGCTTTTTGATCACATCTTTGCAGATCTTAAATGTTTTCCTTTACCTTTTTGTTACTGTTGGCTTCATAAGCTTATTTGCTCTGGGCTATGAACTGCGGATGGTGAAACGCATGAAGCACAATGCTGCAGCCTGCTCCTTTGGTGAAAATTAGTTCTGCTATTCACAGTCTCTTATCCCAATTTGTAGTAACTTTTTGAAAGTTGCTTATCCTTTGCCATTAAACTGGCTGTAGCACGGCAAAAGTGTGAGATGTCCAAGTTATGCTGGTGAAGTAAACTCTGCAAATCCTTGACAGGCAAATTGGAGAGAAGAGATGTGGAAAGGACTTGAAGGGGCTGTGTTTTCCATATAACTGTCCAAATATAAATGGATTGATTGCAACTGTCAGCTCTCACAAGTGTTTGTCTAACCTCTTCTTAAGAACCTCTTGTGATAGAGAGGTTCTAAATCCTCTTGTAGTCATATATCCTAGCTTTTAGCATTAGACATGGGGAACATTTCTATCTTAAATCTGTGATGTAAGCCAATACTTTACTACCAGCAGAAGTGGAGAAAATGGTACACCATACCCCTTTAATTTGCCACTTACAAACTTGAAAACTGATGAATGATTACCAGTTTTCACTTTCCAGAATGAATTGTCACAACCCCTTTAACCTCTTCTTTACAGACTTCTGCATGGCTCACCCAAGAGCCAACTGTGTAGAATCTTGGTATTTCTTTAGTTTTAGCATTCAGGCTGGGTATGCCAATAAAGATCTTACCAGTGCTCCAAAGAGAAAAAGGACTGCCTCAGTTGTCCTATGGACAATACTCTTTCTTATATATTGTGTGGTGTTTGCTTTTTCTTAATTTGGTGTGGTACAGTAGATCATCGGCTAGAAAGAGGTCAGCACCAGTCCCTGTTTTCCTTTGCATAGTCCTACATCTATGGAAGTGAAAACGTAAAGTTTCTATTTGCACTTAATTCAAATGGAGGTTCACACCTGTAATGGGAACCTCTAGAAGGTTAGACAAATGAAACTGCATGGTACAGAGGCCTTTTTTTCCCTACTTAAAAACAAATGGGGGAAAAAAAGTGCTGCTCTCCAATCAGTTGGATGTTGGTTGTATTAGACTAGTATATCATCTCTAACCTATTAAAGATGAAGTATCAGATCAACTTGGAATATACATAACTGGAGTCTATAATTTGGGTGAGAACTTGTGAAGCCATCTGACAACAGAGCCTTCCCAGTGAAACAAGTGGCACTCAGACCAATATCTGTAGTAAGCACACATTTTTGTTATATTTATGGTAATGAAGCAGGGATTAGACTATTCATTTCTTCCTGGCTTTTCCTGTCCTTCATAAGAAGAAGACATTTTCTGTTCATCTGCTATTTAAAATGTTGCATGTGTGTTAGCTACAGGCTTACTGCTGCCCAGAAGTGATCTTTGTCTTCATGCTCCTAGAGACTAAGTCTCCTGTGGCTCTATCTAGTTTTGAAACTTGCTAACAAAGCCCTGCCTCGAAGTCCTTGCATACTGTCAGGTTTCACAGCTGTCAGCCTATGCTGTTAGCAACAAGTATCTTTAGTTCAGACTAACAATACATGGAATGCCTCAGAAAACAGTTTGATAACCTATTGTTCAAAATAATTCGTTTTTTACTTTTAATAGATCTCTTATAGAAAGTGCCACACTACATGTATGGAGACACAATCTAAAATAACATTTCAGTTTTATCACAATTTTGGATCATTTTTGTCTAGAAGATGAACTAAAACTAGATATTAGCTATTAGCTCCCATTTACTGAATAACATCCTTAATCCCTTTAAGCCACCACATGAGCAAAGGAAGACAGAAAAGTAAGATTTTGTCTATGGCTGTCTTTAATGGTATTACTGGTGATGATTACTGATACACTAGGTGAGGTTCTTAGGTTGCTCATAGAACAATCTATGGGAACCCCTAGTGTTTCCAGGTAACTAGTTACTTCTTATGCAGAGAAACAATTGTGCTGCAAAGATAAGCATAAGTGTAGAGCACAACTTCTTGCTCTTAGCAAATGAATTGCTTTATAAATTGCTTTTTTCTGTAAAGATCTCCCTCCTTCCAGACTTCCACCCCTTCTAGGAAAAAAGAAAATACCTTCTTCATTGTTCCAATATAAACAGTTAAAAGAAAAATTGTATTTTTTTTATCAGCTACGTCCTTGACTTATGTAGCAAGTAAGAGGTTTTCTGACACCTGGAGACAGAGAAAGGGTGTTTGAAATAAAATATATGAAGCACTTAGCTGGGAATGGGGGCAGCCTGGCCACTGTTCTGAACTTTCCTATGTAAAACCTCAAGTAGAAAACTATATGAGTCTCCAAAGTTTTTAGACACTCTCTATAGAAGTTATCTGTGTATCTCATACCCTTAAGGAGAGAGTCCCATCTTGATTTAAGGTGGGGAAGTAGATGTGCTGGCAAATTGAGTAATTTGAGTAAAATAATCCAGTTAATCAGGAGCTGAACTAGGATTTAAAATCTTGGTTTCTCAAGAATGACAATTTAGGTCTTAAATCATGTTGTGATGCAACGACATACTTAGAAAACAAACTAGCACTGATTCTGAAACAATACCAGCTAATAAATGTGATGGAAAAATGTTTGCATAGCTGCATAGTATATTGCCCAGAATGAACTATATGTGGAAAGCTGCAAAGAGGGAAAAAAAAGTTTAGGGGCATCTTGCAGATGGTAATTTATATTAGGCTAAATTAAGCCTATGCAGTTCGCTCATGGTTAGAATGGAACTGTATACTTCTCTAAAAGGTCCATAAGAAAGCACGATTTACTCTCACTTCTAGTGGTGACTTCCTTGTTTCAGAGACAAGTTACTGCCTATTCCAG